TCTATCTATCTATCTATCTATCTATCTATCTATCTATCTATCTATCTATCTATCTCTATCCTGATCTACCTGCCTCTCCCTAGAATTTGTTCTGTAGACCAGGCTGGCCCCAAACTCAAAGATCTGCCCAATTCTGCCTCCCAAGTACGGGGATTAAAGGCTTGCACCACTATGCCCAGCTAGTGCGTGTAATCTTTTAACTCATGTATGTTGGAGGAGGTTGCTTGTTGGTTCCCGACTGCCCAGCCCCGAAATAATCACACAGAAATTGTATTAATTAAATCACTGCTTGGCCCATTAGCTCTAGCTTCTTATTGGCTAACTGTTACATATTAATTTAACCCATTTCTATTGATCTGTGTATCGCCACGAGGCTTTAGCTTACCGGGAAAGTTCTGGCGTCTATCTCTGGCAGGGCTACATGGCTTCCCAGCATTCTGTTTAGTTTTCCCCACCTAGCTCTGTTCCCCTATAGCTCTGCTGTAGGCCCAAAGTAGTTCCTTTATTAACCAATGCTATTCACAGCATACAGAGGGGAATCCCATACCATGTGTATCATTTGTGTTTTTTTTGCTATTGCCAGTTTATGCCTTTTTGTTTCACTATTTTCATTTTTGAAGGGTTTGAAGAGGGATCACATATAAAAGTGTATAGTCAATTTCTCATATTTATTAGGAGGGTTTGATGACAATTTAATATTAGCTAGGGGAAAAACATGTAAGGAGAAAGCTTTTCTGTTTTGTGGTGAGTGACTTTTTATAAAAGATATCTTTTCTTTTCTAGATTTATTTATTTGTTTTACATATATATTTTTTATATGTACATACATACAAGCATACACACACACACACACACACACACACACACACACACAAAGTGCTCTATCTGCATGGACGCCTTTATGCCAGAAGGGGGCATCAGATCCCACTATAGATGGTTGTGAACCACCATGTGGTTATGGGGGGTGGGGGGAATTGAACTCAGGACCTCTGGAAAAACAACCAGTGCTCTTAACCACTGAGCCATTTCTTCAGTCCAGTGGATGATCTTTTAAGGAGCTTTTTTTTTTTAACATAAAAATAAGGCCCAGATTATATTCTGAAATGGAAATCTTGTGGAAATAAAAATCAAATTTCCTCTGCATATTACTAGTTTATTATTATTATGTTACTAGTTTTTATTCCTTTTTTTTGAGACAGGGTTTCTCTGTAGCTTTGGAGCCTGTCCTGGAACTCGCTCTGCAGACCAGGGTAGCCTCAGATTCATAGAGATCCACCTGTCTCTACCTCCTGAGTGTTGGGATTAAAAGAGTGTGCCACCACCACCTGACTCTAGTTTTTATTCTTATCTTTGAAGGGGAGATAGAAATTTTGTCCCTTTTTTATGTGGCAAGAGAGGAGGTAAAGATAAAACATGTTTAGAAACATCTCACTCCTGGGAGATTTGATCCCTTGGAACCTCAGCACTTGGGAAGAAAAGCAGGAGGATTGGGGTTGGGCGTGGGGATCCAAGCTCAGCTCAGGCTACAAGACACCTCTTCTCAAAAGAAAACAAAACATCCATCTACTGCACCAGCAACACATTCAAGGGATCAGGGCAGCCCCTGAGCTCCCAGAGTGACCTGGAGCAGAGCAAAACGACTAGGCTTTCAGGCAACACTGTAGGGATTTCGCTTGAGGATTGCAACAACTCTATCACTGTCTGCAGGGAGCCATAGAGAGCCTGCAGTGAGAAGGTTCATCCACAGGACTCTGTATCCAAACGAGGCTTTGACCTTGATCACTTACACATTAAAATTTGTCTTTGCTCTTGAGTTATCCACAAAGTTCTGTTTTATATATTACATATATCGTAGGGCGATTTTGGTGGCTGGCCTTATGTGAACATTGTGAAAGGGTAGGCCAAATGGACCCTTTCCTCCCCAGCTTGCTTTTGGTCATGGAGTGTCATCACAGCAAGAGTAACCATGACTAAGACAGTGCGGTAGGTTTTGTTGTTACTGTTGTTTCGTAAATAGTAACAATTAAGCAATAAATAAATGAGATACAAAAGTGGACCTTATGTTCGATTTGGTTCAATTACTTAATTTTATAGAGGAGAAAACTGATGCTCAAAGAGAAGGCATGACTTGCTGGAACGGGCAATGGTGGATCCTCCAAAGAAATGCAGACGCCAGTCTTCAGCAAAATCAAACAATTATCCCTTCATTGTACAGCTCATAGTTCATCATAGCTGGGATGGAACCAGTTTATATGTCCATCAACAAATAAGCTAATAAACATCATACACACACACAAACACACACACACACACACACACTTTATTAAGTCATAAAGAAGGATAAAATTATGTGAGTTACAGGAAAACGGATCGAACTGGAGACCATCATGTTGAGTAAAACAATCCAGGCTCAACATATCAAATATTCCATACTCATATATGAAATCTATACTTAAAATATATACTTAGAGGTATATAAAAAATGAAACAGAGAAGAGAGAATGAATAGACTTATTGTCTATCAAAAGCAGTACAGAAATCCAACTTTTTGTTTTGTTGTTGTTGTTTTTGGAGACAGGGTTTCTCTGTAGCTTTAGAGCCTGTCCTGGAACTAGCTCTTGTAGACCAGATTGTCCTTGAACTCACAGATATCCTCTTGCCTCTGCCTCCCGAGTGCTGGGATTAAAGGCGTGCACCACCACTGCCCAGCTCAGAAATCCAACTTTTGATAATGGGTTTGAATTAAGGCCTCTTATTGGATCCTACAATTCGCATCTTCTGCTTTTTCCTCATGCCAAGGTTGTTATTTGTTGTTTCTACCAAGCTCTGTTGTCTAAAGCCTCTGCACACACCCAGACTGTGTGAAATAAAAATTTAACTGATATTTGTTATAACTACCAATTAATAAAGACCAGACACTTTTCAAAAGGTTAAAAACAACAACAACAACAACAACTATATCCACCAGACATAAGGTATAAAGAGTACGACATGGTCTATGTTGGGAAGGACTCAAAAGGAAGGCGGAATGAGAAAGCAATGGGGGAAAGCGAAGAAAAATGTTGCATTTTTCTTCTCACATGGAAACTCTAGCTTTACTACACACACACACACACACACACACACACACACACACAGACACACACACCACACAATATGAAAGTAGAAGAGGAATTCTTGGGAGAAAGAATGATGCTAGCAGGAAGGGGAAGAGTAAGGGAAGGCAATGGGTGTCAAATATGAGCAAAATACAACTAAAATATCACAGTGGAACCCTCTATTTGCTATGCTAACCAAAACAAATCAGTAGAATTTTAAAAAGAGAACAGTATACTGTGGAAATAAACTAATAGATAGAAGATCAGTTACCTGGGTCTACTTGGTGATAGGGCTGAGAGCTGACCTGTCTCTACTGTAGTTTGAGTTGGCAGGAGACAGATAGACTGAAATTAAAAACCTTCACACTGGGATTTGCTCAAATATCACATACCAGGCAGGCCTCCAATCCAGCAGGCAAATGCAAGGTCCAGCCGGTTCAGATGACAGCCACTCTGCGTCTGATGTATAAAGTGAAGAGTTCTCTGGGTGAACTTTTTTTTTCTTCTTTGAAAAGAGAGTGAAAGAATTCATGTGCCACTGCTTAGTTGACACATCCCAGAGGTACAGAATCGTGATCTTGAAGGGCCTGTACCTTCTGCTCAATGAAAATGTCCTTGGACCAGAGAAAAACAGCGAATAGGACCATTTCTTAAAAAGAAGGTCCCCAAGATGATCCAATGTCTTCTGCTTTCCAAGTTTCCATGTTTGGTTTTTAATTCATAGCCATATCCCACAAGGAGCAGATTTTCTAGGTAAAATATATCAATAAGTTAGACAGCATTTCTCTTTATTAATAAATTAGCATTCCTATTTCACATAGTCCTTGAGAAAGAAAGTATTGAGTCAGTTAGTCTAGTAACTCTCTAAGTGAGCCACACAAATCTAGCTTCTATGAGCTGTGAACCTTAATGACCTCACAGTCTAGTTCACTGGAGCTTGTTTTAAAACCCATGCCCTGGGAGCCAGCGCAGTGGCACACGCTTTAATCCCAGCCCTTCCTTGAGAGGCAGAGATGGGTGGATCTCTGTGAGTTCCAGGCCAGCCTGGTCTAAATATTGAGTTCCAGGCCAGTCAGAGCTACATGGTGAGACCTGTGTCTCAAAAACCAACAAAGGGCTGGAGAGATGGCTCAGTGGTTAAGAGCACTGACTGTTCTTTCAAAGGACCTGAGTTCAGTTCCCAGCAACCACATGGTGGCTCACAACCATCTATAATGAGATCTGGTGCCTTTTTCTAGCCTGAGGGCATACATGTAGGCAGAACACTATATATAATAAATAAATAAAACTTTTTTAAAAAACCAATAAACAATAACAATGACAAAAACATACATTGCCGGGGCTGGAGCTGCTCACTGGATGAGAGCCCTGGCTGCTCTTCCAGAAGACCCAGGACCTATGGTAGCTCACAACCATTGATTCCCAGCACCTATGGTAGCTCACAACCTTCTGTAAGTCACATCTCAAGGCATCCAAAACCTTCTTCTGGCCTCTATGGACAGTAGTCACAATGTGGTACACAAACATACATTCAAACAAAACACCCACACATAACATAAGTAGAATTACAAAAGAAAGCAAAGACTCACTGGGCATTGGGACTGAAGAAAGAGCTCTGTTAGTAGAGTATTTGCCTGGCATGCTAATGTGTGGTATTGATGCCTGTAATCCCAACATCCTGAGAAATGGAGTTCCAGGCCAGCCTGAGCTGCATGAGATCCTATCAATAAACAAATACTCATGCCTTTAAATTTCTGTTTCTGGTCTATTGCCTCAACACTAGACCAACCTGCTCCTCTTAATTTTTTATTTTTTTGTTACATTTCTTTCAGATCTCAGGTTGAGTCTCATTTCTATGGTTTTATATAACCATGTAATTTCAACTTTTTTTTTTGAGAGGTGTGGAGTAGATCCAAGGTTTTGTGCCATACTGGATAAGTGCTTTCTAACCTTAATAACTGAACTATAGCATCAACTTCCTCCCTTCCTCCCTATTCTCCTCTTTCCACTCTCCGTGATTCCCTCCTTCCAAAATACAGTAGCCTAGGCCAGCCTTGAACCTGCAATCTTCCTGCCTCAGCCTCCTAAGTAAGGGTTGATAGCACAGGCTTGTGGAACCACAGCCAATGATTTGGTGATTCTTATGACAGTTCTTCCACTCTGTTTGCCCACTCCTCTCACCCCAAATTGTCCAACAAAGCTTCTAGAAATTGCAGTTTGTAGCCTGCTTTCACAGGACATTGACCCTAAATATTGTTCTTACTGTCTGATTAGCTTTTTCTGCATTTCTTTTGAAACAAAGATCTGAACCAAGTCCTCGATTGACACCATAACCTATCTTTCATAGTGCGGTCCATGAATTCAGAGCCAGACTGCTTTTGAGTCCTGGCTCCACCTCTTGATAGCTGTGTCACCTTGGGCAAATCATTCAAACTTCTGGGCCTTATCCCCTCACCTGTGAAATGGAGACAGAGGGTAGACCAGAAGGATGTTGAGGCTGGGTTAATGTAGCTAGTGCTATGGCTAGGGGTATATGGCTCACCGGTAAAACAGGTTCTGGTTCTGAGAATGTGCTACGCCATAGGTTTAATCTCCAGCCATCACCAAAAGGCATAGAAAGAAAAAAAAAACAATCTTACTATATTTGTCAAGGAGAAAATGTGGCAAATGTGGTGGTTCTTGCTATTGTTGCTCTTGTCCCCTTCTGTAGACCTCCTGTGACTTTAGTTTACCAAACTTTTTTGAATGGAGAGAAAGCAATAAAGGTACAAGGAAGAAAAATAAGTTCAGACTATCACACTTCAGCACAGTGGTTATTACCACGTTAGCTTTAAAATTTCTTGTTTTCCTTTTAATGTCAACAGCTTGAATTTTCTAACATTTTAAATATTATAATTCTACTTCTTCTGTATGTGTACATCACTTCAGTCTAAATGACATTTTTCCTTTTTCTTAAATTTTATTTATTGTTTTTAATGGAACTATACATTTTCCCCACTCCTCTTTCTTCTTCCCCTCTCCCCTTCCACCCTCTCCCCTGCTCCCACACTTCCAATGTACTCAAGAGATCTTGTCTTTTTCCTTCTTCTTTTTTAAATCGCCAGAACTAACTTTTCTATAATAACTTCCAGATTTTCTAAGTAAATCATAAGAAAGCGTTTAACGGGAAGGTCAAAACCAGGTAATACTTTCGCTCAGTAAACAACAAAGGACAGAAGATAAACAGCGTACATGTTACTGGAATCTGAGTTAAGAAATAGGGGCAACAGAACAAACAGCAAACAGCAAATAGCTGCTTGAGTTACATCAGAATGAACAGAGACGGGATGACCTGGGCTTCCAGTTTGAGGCTGTTGCACAACACGATGAGTGGAACTAGAAGTTACCTATTGCATGTTAGAAACTGCTCCACAGGCTTTGAAAACAGAAAGGAGAGCTTGCTGAGAGTACAGCCCATGCTTACAGGTGTGTGTTGCAACTTCACATATAGAGAATGCTTTTGCTAGTGGATAGCCCCACATCCATGAACATATGGGCAACACTAATGGGACTTTAGGGGATTATCAAGGGAGGAAAGAAGGAAACGAGGGAGGGAGGGAGGGAGGGAGGGACGGAGGGAGGGAGGGAGGGAGGGAAGGAGGAAGGAAGGGAGGGAGGAAGGAACAGAGGAAGGAAGGAAGGAAGGAAGGAAGGAAGGAAGGAA